TGACGAGAGCATATCTAAGGTAGGTAGGTACCTACCGACAGACGGTGACTTTAATGTTCTCAAACTGGTTCATTGCCCGTGTAGTCCCCAGCAAGAGCGCTGGCTTTTACCCCTGAAGCATCGGCACCCCACACATTTACACCTTTGGCTCTGGGCTTCAAGCAGGTCCGGTGATCATCGGTAACATCTACGTTAAAACCAAGGGAGTGGTCGTTGTGTAGCTGGCTTGGATCATGGAAGCCTTCATTTAAATTGGAAACCTCCAGGCTCCGGCAGGCCGAACGTCAGCTTTTCAAGGAAGAATGTAACGAACACAGGTCCCAATCAGAGCTTCTCCCAATGTGAAGAACTTAGCTATGAACACATATAGGCAACACTTGCCGTACAAATAATCTGGTCTAAGCCGCAATAAATGATGAGGTAAAGGACGATATTGAGTATTCCCGGTGGCCTTCCGCATGGGGCAGGCGGCAGGCCAAAGCCTCAAATAGCCGTTGAGATCAGGTGGAGCAGGCAGCAATAAGCAGAAGCTGTTAGTGGTCCGACAGCCTTGGAAAATCGGCCTATCTCATATCTTTGACGTTTGCCAACTTCCCAATACTCCCCTCCTCTTGCCTCCTCCAATAAGCGGTCGGTAACAGAGACAAACACCCGTTTCTGCTTGTACCTTCTTCTGTATAATATTTATAGCCTGTTTGACGTAGCTTTGCATGTATATAGCCCCTCCTTTCTGTGTATTTTCTACCCCTTCCACTTGTCTCAATGCCCCGCACTCTCCTCATGCGCCTGCCTTCCTCCTCGCGCCTTGCGCCATCACGAGCACAGCTGACTGCCACCTCTTTCCGTGTCTTTAATAACATTTCTCATTCTCGTTGTTTCTCTTTTGCATATTCCCCATTCTCCCGTGCATCTACGATACCACTTCCAGTTGCCTCCTCTAATCCAACACACGCGCGAAGTTATCTCTCTCCTGCTGTTCAAGCCCACCAAGCTCGCAAGATGGCCCCCCAGCTCGACGGCTACTTTGCCGAGGTGGACAAGCTGTCCGACCACTTCATCGACCGTCTCGCCAAGGCCGTTGCCATTCCCTCCATCTCCGCCGAGGATGCCCGACGTCCCGACGTCGTCCGCATGGGCGAGTGGTTAGGCGCAGAGCTGAAGTCTCTCGGCGCCGAAGTTGAACTGCGACCCCTGGGCAAGGAGCCCGGCAGACAACATCTTGATCTGCCACCCGTTGTCCTCGCTCGCTATGGCAACGACAAGAAGAAGCGCACAATCTTAGTATACGGCCACTACGATGTCCAACCCGCTGAGAAGAGCGACGGCTGGGATACTGAGCCGTTCACTTTGTCTGTCGGCAAAGATGGCCGCATGTTCGGTCGAGGTAGCACCGATGACAAGGGGCCTGTCCTCGGCTGGTTGAACGCCATCGACGCCCACCAGAAAGCTGGCGTCGACTTCCCTGTCAACCTGCTCATGTGCTTTGAGGGTATGGAGGAGTACGGTTCCGAGGGTCTCGATGAGCTGATCGAGAAGGAGGGCAAGGGTTACTTTGCTGATGCCGACGCCGTCTGTATCAGTGATAATTACTGGCTTGGTACCGAGAAGCCTTGCCTGACGTATGGCCTGCGAGGGTGCAACTACTACAGCATCGAGGTCTCTGGTCCTGGCGCTGATCTGCACAGTGGCGTCTTTGGCGGTACCGCACAAGAGCCTATGACCGATTTAGTGCGTGTATTGGGAAGTCTTGTGGCTACAGATGGAAAGATCCAGATCCCGGGTATCTACGAGCAAGTTGCGCCGGTGACATCGGACGAAGAGGGCCTCTACGACTCCATCGCATTCACAATGGACACCCTGCACGAGTCCCTCGGCTCCAAGACGACCATCTTTGAGGACAAGAAGTCCACTCTGATGGCCCGCTGGCGGAATCCCTCCTTGTCCATCCACGGTATCGAGGGCGCCTACTCTGCACCTGGCGCGAAGACTGTCATCCCCGCCAAGGTTATTGGCAAGTTCTCTATTCGCACCGTACCGGACATGGATATCGACAAGACGAACGAGGCGGTACATAGCTACGTCAAGGATGTGTTCGCCAAGCTTGGCTCGAAGAATACGTTGAAGATCTACCCGCAGCACAGTGGCAAGTGGTGGGTTGCCAGTCCGAACCACTGGAATTTCCGGGCTGCTTCGAAGGCCACTGAGCGCGTTTGGGGTGTGCAGCCTGATTTCACGAGAGAGGGTGGAAGGTGAGTAGTTCTCTAGCCGAAAAAATACCGATGAAGCTGTCACTAACGATAATGACAGTATCCCCGTGACGTTGACTTTCGAGCAAGCTACCGGAAAGAATGTTCTCTTGTTGCCCATGGGTAGCTCGACAGATGGCGCACATTCCATCAACGAGAAATTGGACAAGAAGAACTACATTGAGGGTATCAAGCTTCTGGGTGCTTATCTGCACTATGTTGCCGAGGAGGAGCAGTCGTAAGCATAGGCGACTGGGAGGTGACATACTGGTCGTAAGATTGACATGAGAGACTTCGGCGATACCACAAGTCATCGAGCCGTTTGTAAACCCTTGGAGGTGTGATATGTCTACATGGCGATTGGCGAGTGTCTGTAGCATTGATGATGATAGCATCATGTATTGGGTATGGTGGGGCAAATGTACTAAGATGACCTGCTCTTTCGTGTTTCTAGATGTGCAGTGAATGCTATATCGTAAGCACATTCATTGTGCTTGGATTTGTAAGCGCCTGAGGAGCCCTTCCGTCTCTCTTTTGTTTTTATTTTATTTCTACTTTCCCCAAATCGGTTGACTGAAGATGACATTGTAAGTGAGCTGTTCCATTTGGAAAGGATCACGCCGTATTAGGCAAGTTTCTAGGGACGACTTCAGGGTCTTGCCTTATCCACATCGTGTAGTTGCTTATCTGATCAGGCTCGTAACGGCATCTTATGACCACAATAGCAGACGATTATGCCGGTGCCCGACCTAGGATTTGACGATAAGGTAGGAACACAGCTAGGATAAGAAGATCGTCACGGAAGGCGAAGTGGTGACTCCGGTCCGGACATGTTCTAGAACGTCACCGCTTTGTGGATTCCATTCCCCGGAAGACTCGCAACCCACCTCGCCCACCAACATAGTTCCCGTTCACTTTCACTTACTTACTAGCAAGGGAGGCGAGAGAGGATGTCTTGTAAAGTCAAGACCAGGTTTCATTTTATGCGCAAGCCGATTCGATAGGCGATTTGATAGCGAATAGTAGTGATTGCCTTTTGTGAAACATCAACCCAGAATCGATTGTGACCGTTACACGATCATCTCACCAACTTAGAATACCAAAACATGAGGTAGCTTAGATATAACGCCCACGACTCATACACAAACACTTTGACGCCATCTCAAATTTAACGTCACTCAGGGTCACACTGGCCACACTCAAAGACACATCACTCAAGATGACATCAATATCAGGCACCAAAGAGCCCACGCTCAAAGTTGCAGTGACAGTACTTCCGATCTCACCCTCATCGTCCGCACCTTCTTCGGCGACCTTATTAGACGTCACCGCTGATATGCCCACCGCTCTTTCCACACCCCCGATCGCCACCTCACCTCAGTCTCGACCAGACGCATCTTCAGACACAGAATCTGAAAAGGAGTTCTCGCCCTTATCTCTAGCGAAGGACTACACGCCACTGCCGCAATACAAAGACTCCGGAACGACGGAAACGGATTTCGGCGGATTGTTACAAGGGCCAAAGTTGAAGTTACACGAGGACCTCAAAGATGGATGTGGAGGCCAGCTGTGGCCCGCTGGGATGGTGCTCACGAGGTGGTTGTTACGGTATCAAGGCAAGGGGGAGGAAGCACAGGGTGGCCTGAGAGGTGCGAGGATGTAAGTCTGCTACTTCTTGATATGTGAGCGAGAACATTTGCTGATAGGACAGTACAGACTCGAACTCGGTGCGGGAGGTGGACTCGTCGGCCTTGCTGTCGCAGCAGGCTGTGATCTGGGAGATGCACCTGAGAAGTTGATCATGACGGATCAGATGGAGATGTATTCTCTCATGCAGCATAACATCGGGCTGAATGGCTTGGGGAGTAGAGTCGAAGCGCAGGTGTTGAACTGGTGAGTTCAATAACATTATCCTTCCCTTTCTCGTTTCTGGTCAATTATGGTCCGGTATCACGCGCGTAAAGACTAATCCACTGACAAACTCAGGGGCGAACCACTACCACCCAACATCATCGCCAACCCGCCGAATGTCGTCTTGGCAGCGGAGTGCGTATACTTCGAGCCGGCATTCCCTCTGCTCCAGAAGACGCTCTCCGATCTCTTGGAGCTATGCCCAGATGCCGTGATCTACTTCTGCTTCAAGAAGCGCCGACGGGCGGACATGGGGTTCGTCAAGCAGGCGAGGAAGAAGTTTACTGTGAATGATCTTGAGGATGTGGATAGGCCGGTTTGGAGTAGGCAGGGGTTGTATTTGTTTAGCTTTACGAGTAAGAAGAAGGGACAGTAAGGGCCGGTTTGGGGGCATGTGACGAAAGGGCGTTTCGTGAGGAGCTGGTGTTCATCATGGTGTTTAGGCGTACGAAGAGCGATGAATGGGTTAGATGCATAGAGGCATAGACAATAGAGACTGTCAATTAGATAATTACTTCAATATACGAGAAGTGGTTGGGATATGTATGTGCTCTATCATCTTGGAACGTGATTTGCGGGAGCTCTGCAGATTGCTGACTGATGTGACCCAATGTCTTGCACACTTATGGGTATCGGTGTTTACGACTATCTCTACGCTTTGGTCTTCTAAGACTAAAGGTATCAATACCTAGATCAAAAGGATATGAGAATAGCGTTTTCGATCATATTCAGATAGAAGCAAGTGTAACCGAGGATGAGGATGAGTACCTGGGTAGTGTGGGATCTCAAGTCGATAAAAACCGAGAAAGGAAAATCAGCAAAACATAGATACGAGAAAAAAGATGGTCAGTATAGGGCTTGAACCTATGGCCTTTGCAGTCATTCTGTCACAGTAAGCTATGATGAAGATGTAATTGCAATGCTCTGCCAACTGAGCTAACCGACCGAGCTGGTTTGTTTGTTGAAGAGAGCTGCCTCTAACGTGCCTGATCTAGCCCTCGGATCTTCCGCGTGGAGAGAAAACAAGAAACAACAAATAAGGAGATTAGGAAAAAAGAAAGAGGAATGGTCAGTATAGGGCTTGAACCTATGGCCTTCTCAGTGTAATTGAGATGCTCTGCCAACTGAGCTAACCGACCTGTTTGTTGGAAGAAGATGTAGTAAGATACATCATATATCCCGAGACGGACAATCCGAGGAACAAAATGAGGTTCATGGAGGCAGAGAGCGTCAAAAAGATGAATATTTGGTCAGTATGGGGATTGAACCTATGACCTTCGCAGGTATCTCTCATCAGAGATGATATGATGTGATTGCGATGCTCTAACCAACTGAGCTAACCGACCAGGTCGTTGTTTGTTGAATGACCATGTCTGCAATATCGATTATGTAGAGACTCGATCAGATGACTCGGTGAGCGAGAGATCATGAAGTTTGGGAATCCTGATGGGGCGGATAATCCGAGGTTGAGATGGCATGGATTTTGGTTGGGCGAGGACGGGAGTGCTGGATGAGGAGTGCATATTAGGCCTGCCCTGTGTACGTAAGACTGCGTATGTAAGCTTACATGAGGAGACGGGCAGATATGTCTACGAGCGTTTCGGATTGTTGGGCTTTGCGAGTGTGTCGCGGTTGGAGAGAATTGAGAGGGGAGAGAAGTCTTGGTTAGGTCGTAGTGGATGTGAATAGGTTTGGTGAGAGATCTCCTTCGCACTGCTAACGTGAGATAAAGCAGTGAGACATAGTCAAACCAATCATATAAATAGAGCTGCCACAACAAATTTGCTTTCCCCTCACTTCTCTGCAGGTGGCAGGTGGCAGCATAACATATATTCGCCAGGCGACACACAACAGAGTTTCTTTTCATGAGTGCCTCTAGTCTTCTTTACGTTTCTCGAGATCGAATCAACGAATGATTGCATCCTGTCCTGGATCACTGAAACATGTCCAACGCTTACATGAACAGATCGCCGTGGGTTGCTGCATCGATATCATATAGTTCTGACAGGCATCGGGTCGGCTATCTAACCTTTCGGTCTCAATCTACTGAGACGACGGCCAGTGACTCCATGGCCACGTTTCTGCCACCGCGGGAAGCGACAGATGCACGAGGCGGAGTGCCGCCGAAGATCTCGGGCATCGAGATGCATGTAACTGTAGCCACGGGCAAAATGGAGTTTAATAAATTTCTCATTTCCATCGATGAATCAAGGAGGACCAGCAAGCTTCAATCCGGGATTTGGACCACAAGGGTGACATCTTCGTGTGGTAAACTCTTTCGGCTGTGTAACCCAACCACCTTCGAAATACGTACTTGGGCTTCCACTCTACAGAGCGTTGCCTCGCACAGAAACCCCGGACTCGGACGTCGTTTTGTGTTTTGTATTGATAACCGGAAAGTCGATGATGCCACAGACAGGGTCAAGGTGTGTAGTAGGTTAGACCAAGGCTGCGGTTTCTGCTGTGGGTTACCGACCGACCCAACCACACAAGCACAGATGGGACGATGCTACAAATATATTATATGTTGTTTCTGCTAGTCTTTGCATTGAAGAGGTCATACTCAGCCGATTCCACTACTATGTAAGTTTACACAGTACATGTTTATTTCTCTCTTCAGCGGCCCGTTAATGGCATTGCAATTTGAATCGGCTTGATCAAGATCCACGTCCCCGGGGCGGAGGCAAAGGCAATAATGCATGCATGAACTTGAATTTTGGGGTGGAAATTAGAGATGGCGCGACACACTGGGCACTGATGTCTTCACAGGGTTCATGGCATTGCACAATGGGTAATTTTCATTGGAATGCCTTCATATGCAATTCCGTTGCAGACCTGCCATTGAAGTTTGAACCTGTTGGTTTTCTAGTCTGAGGAACGAAGCTAATGCATGTGTGTATGTACTGTGCACATGGCACGGCGAAAGGCGTCTTTGCGACGTGGGTGAATCACAAGTCGCATCGGAACGAGAGACAGAGGCGGTGCTGTGCTTCTTACGGCGCCTTCATTCAGGTTACTGGACTACTTCAAGGGTCGGGCGATGCAGCAAAAGCGGCGCTGTACTGTACTCGCAAATCGAACAAGAAACTTGTCTACTATTTTCCTAAGCATTTCAGATACCTCAGTCTCTTTTCGCGAGCCATGTTAATACTAGGCCCAAAAAAATGAATATTTTTCAGTTGTTTGAAATTTAAGAAATCCGCCCAAGCCAACTCAGAATTCAAATTCCAAGCCTGAGCGTCAAACGTGCACTTTACAGGAGTAACGGCTTCTTGTTCTAATTGTAGACACAGTCGACAGCCATTTCGCCATGTCGCAGAACACAGCACAACAGCCAGGTTATTAGAAGCCCGAGAGCAGCTTTGCTATCCATCGGACCCAGGGCGTCGCTGAGTTGTTTTTCCCAGCTCCTGCAGGCCGACAGGCTCGACAGGCACAAACAAGGACATGTGTGCGCGCACGGCAGCGGAACAGACGGGGATTGCCAGGATTCAGGAACTGAACTTTGAAGTGTCCTGGCTAATCAGAAGCCATGCAGGGGTGGACGTTGGTCACTGACGATGATTGGTCGGAAAACATGCTGACAGGGCCGAGGGCGCAACAACAGCGGTGCCTTGCATTAGCCCAGGAGGACTCCCACTGCCCAGAGATTCCACTGCGACGCTGCCATCCTTTGGTTCTCTCGGCTCCCACGTTTTGACGAGTGCGTCTCTTCGAGCGAAAGAAGATGAAAAGACAGCCGGGTTCTGAATGCTAGTGGTCAATGATTAGCACTTCTCGATAAATTAGTAGGGAAGCCACTTTGGCCCGGGGAGACGGGATCTGGACGGACGGGGAGAAAAGAACCGGCGTTGTTTTGAAACGGGGAGAAATCTGACTCTGGGCATCGGCCTGGGTACGCTAGCCATCGACCCATGGGCGCCATCGCACCGCAGGCGAAAATAAGAGGAGGAAACAAATCACAAGGGGCGAATGAGAAGACAACAAAGACGAGGAGAGAGCTGACTTGGCTCCCCTCTCGAGCCTCTCTCCAGCGCTGATGGCCCCCCATTGGCCATTTGCTGGGAACGATGGCAGAGGATGGCTCAAGCCTCAAGGGGGAAACGCCCCATCGGATCAGGGCTGGCTTGTCGACGGCGGACGCTTGTCAGCTCTTGTGCCCGGTTCCAGTTCCCCGTCATTCAGGCCTCTCCCCTGCTCCTCTCGCAGAGCTCTCGGTGCCATTTTGAGGCTTTGCTCTGTGGCCCTCCCCCATGTGGTGTGCTCCCGTTGGCTGGGCTTTCGACGGGTTTTCGCCCACCGGTGTGATAAAGAAGAGACATCCTTTCACCTCTAACCTCGCCCTCCTCCCTCCTCCTCTCCCACCTCACACCTTTCGTGACCAAACCCACACTCGTACATTCTTTCAATTGAGCAGTGCTCACCTATACATTCATTCATCTGACGCTGCTCGCAACACTCATTCGTAGAACGAATTCAAGAGATCTGGGGAAACACAGCCAGCCACGGAAACCGAAAGTCAAAACCCAACATCCAGTCCCAGGCCAACAGACACTCCTTGTCGAACAAAGACAGACACGTTGAAGCGCCCAACATCACAGTGACACGCAGTCCTTTCTGATTGTTTAAAACCAAGATACCCTGGCTGGACCTCCCGCGCAATCTTCCAGCGAGAAAATAACACGACAAAACACACCATGAAGTCTGTATCTGTTGCTGCCGCCGCCGCCGTCTTGGCTGGCGTTGCTGTCGCTCAGCCTCACGGTAACCATCTTCACCAGCGCCTCCACGCCAAGCGGGAAATAGTCACCACTTGGGAGACAGTTTGGGAGACTGTGACAGTCATCGTTGACGACGAGACCACCTCGACTGTTCTTCCTACTACCACCTCTGGCGCACCGGGCGAATTCTTCCAACCCAGCACCACTACTAGCACCAGCATCAGCAGCACCAGCACCAGCACATCCGAGGTTGTTGTTGCTGAAACTCCTACCAGCAAGAAGGCTGCGCCAACAACGCCCACGACAACCTCTACTCCTCCACCACCACCCAGCACTACATCTACCTCTTCTACTTGGACTACCTTGTCTACCTCTTCCACGTTCTCTAGCTCGTCAAGCTCGTCCAGCTCGACTCCCGTAGTTGAGCCCATCACCACAAGCATTGCGCCTTCACCATCAACGACGTCCTCGGAGCCTGCAGCCACAACGACTGCTTCGTCAGGAGGCTCGGGAGGCGGCAAGGAGTACTCCGGTGAAATCACTTACTACGCTGTCGGTCTTGGCGCTTGTGGCTATGACGACAGTGGCAAGGACAACTCCATGCCCATCGTAGCCATCGCAGTGGGTGATTGGGGAGCCTACGGCACCATGGCCACCAACGCTGGTATCGACATGCCTCTCAACCCCTGGTGCGGCAAAGAGCTCACCATCACGGCCAATGGCAAGACTGTCAAGGGCCAGGCCCGCGACCAGTGTCCCGGTTGCGCGTCCGGCAGTATCGATGTCTCCGAGCAGATCTTCAAGGAGCTATTCGACGGCGATCTCGGTGTCGGCCGCTCCGACGTCACTTGGACTGTTTCTGGTTAAGCGACTTTGAAGAATTGAAATAAGCGAACGAGGCAGCTCCAATAGAACGATGCAATTGGATAAAATGCACTCCGGTGTCAGGTTTTGGAAAAGGGGCTGGATGTCCCAATTGAGTTTTTTAACGTCACGCCACGCTTCACTACGATCAATCTAGCATTACCTAAGTGACCATGTTGCAGGACTGAGAGCAAGCGTGTTCGGGTGTCAGGGTACTCATTGCCGATGTTATGATATCTTAGACTTCAATTCTTGTACATAACTAGAGAAAGATCTCTTCTGCTATATCACGTTGCATATATGCAGAGAGAGCAATAGATGGAACGTTATCATCTACGACATCATTGCCCGCCGACAACTTCATAACTTGAATTTGTCAACACGCCGACCCGTACCCTTCTGCGGCATAAACTGTCGAGGTCTCTTTTCAATGTCCCTACGCATAACTCGATGCCCATGGCTGGGTTTATGCTAAAGAAATGGACTGTCCACTACGTTCCGTCCGTTCACAACTCCACATTGGGGTTGAACTCCAATGCAAGCCAGATATCCAGGTTCGTCCCATCGCCAGCCTACCACTTATACCACGGATAAGACACAACACGATTGCGCCCTCGCACGGCCTTGCCATACGAGTCTTGATGCTAGATCGCCCTGTGCTCGACGCAGAGGGTGGCAACGCCTCTGCCTCATCTGCTGTCTTCTCGGCATACTGAGGACGAATCTTAGACATGCCGCCGCTCTCAGTGCCGAATGACAGA